AAAAAAAGTAAAATTATTCAGGCTTGCTTCTAACCACAGAATGTGGGAAGTAACAAAGTTGTTGCGCCTTTAGGTGACTTTTCATTCACTGAGAAACAGAAATCCACCCTTTAAAAATGGTTCCACTGCCTCTTCCATTTTCTTCATGTTCTTGGCATGGCACATGGTGTTGCCCTGCACAATCTCATCCATTACCTATAGCAGGACTGCGTGTGAGGCACTCCCAGCCTCTGACTTAGAGATGAGAAAACTAAAGGTTGGAGGGCGTGCCCAGCTCCCAACAGCTGGTGTGTGGCAGAAGACAGCTTCAAAAAATTCATCTCCTCTTTGCATCTCCCAAGCACTTTATTACTCACTGGGGGTAAAAAGGACACATCCCAGATGCCCAAAGCATCCAGCAGGGAAATAAGATCGATAAAATAATCAGCCACGGAACAGTGTCAGGTTCTGTGTTAAGCATGGAGCTAGCTTTATCTGATTTAACCCTCACAACTTCCTGATGAAGTACGAAGGCTTTCAGAATAACCGCCCTACAAATAATGAAAAGAAGCTTTGGGCGAGTACCTGCCACAGGCAGAGCCAGGCAGCAGTGGAGAGGGCTGTGAACCCCAGTGGGGTCTGTGTTCTTATCCCCTTCCCTACACAGCTCCCCGTGGTGCCTCCCTCCCGTGGCTGGCATGTCACTCATAGGTCAGCCACAGAGGCCAAGGAGGGGTCAGGAGGGCAGTGACCCCTCTGGGGCTTCCCAGTCTATTTCTTGTGCATAAGTGCATGCATTTTTTCCACTCACATGCACAGACTCTGCTGGATACTTTACTCAAGATGCAAGAACACACTGTCTCTCTTCAGGACTGTCTGAAGTCACCACCGTTCCCACTGCATAGAAGGGAAGAGTGAAGCTTGGTTTGTTCAATGTCTCCATGTAAATGATGGGGCCAGAATTGATCCTAAACCATAAGATTCCAGATCCTGAGAACTTGAGCACTCTGTCTCCTCCAGGGCTTTTCGAACCGTTCCTTAGAAACCTGCTGGCAAATCTGCCCAGCACAGCCAAGTCAGAGCTGGCATAGCACACTGATGCCCTCACTGTAACATACATTGGCCAATCCACCTTCTTGGAGGGAAGAGGGAAATGATCTGCTTGCGGAACCAGATCTCAAGCAATGTTTTTTGTGATAGGAAATGCCCGCCCCCACAAAGGGGAACCACCCATTCATGCCAGTACGACTCTTTTCAGCTGAAAATAATGCTTTGTCACCCCCACGCTACCTCCAGCTGGCACAGTAGGGATAGAATGCTTAAGCAATATAACTTGTAACTGTATTATGCAATAGTAATGCATACAGAAGCAGAAAATTACCATTCTTGAGCTGCCAGTCTCAATCCTGGCTAAACACCGATTTGGAATCAGGAACGAGATATAACGGGGTTTGTGTTTAACAAGTGAAGGATGGTCCCTGCTGTTGGGAGGCCACAGTGGGACTGAATGTCATTTTGCCATGTGGATCTAGCAGGGAGGAGAAGGGGGTGCTGAGCCCAGACTGTAAACCTCCTGGATTTTAGCAGATCTAGTATTGGAAGAGGATGTGTATTGAAGTGGCAATGAAAAGCTTCAGTCACACATAAAATTTGTGCTTTTGTCCCCCAAGGCTTAGCCAACCCAATTCTAACTCACTTACAGGTTCCGGAAGTACCGTCTGTTCCCTGCCTCTCATTAGCAGTTAGGTCTCTGCTCCCATGTTGCTCTTTCTAGCATGAGGTATGGGGCCTGGAGGGCTTGGGGTCTCACCCAGAGACGCGTAGTGCTGGATTTGCTGTTGTTGTTGACACTGCCCTCCTCTTTGAGTCCAACAGGTGTTGAGGATATGCTTTGACTACTGAGCCTGATAAAAAGAAAGAAAAAAAGTATTTATTGTGTTTGAAATCCTTCCATGTGTAAACATCCCTACATTTGAGGGTATGCAGTAGTGGAACTATGACTATAGACGTTCAGGATAAATTATGTTACTCTAAAGTGTACTTCCGGCCTGCTCTGCCCCAACCTCTGCACTCACCACGTGGAACCCCACCAGGCACCGCACTTCCCTCTCTCTGTGAGCCAGAAGGACGGGAGCAGTCTTAGAGGAGGCAACACCTTTTCTTGCGACGGTCTTGCTTGAGTCTTGGGGAAAACTGACATTGTGACAGTGGGTTCCAGCATTACTTCATCTTTAACTTTCTAAACTCCACTTCTACTGTTCGAAGGAGACCGAGGGGGGTAAGGCTCACTGAAGGTTTTATTCCTCCTTCTTTTCAGTGGTACAGTGGCACCTACTTCACTGGTAGTTCAAACTGTGATCATTAAGACAGGGCAAGTGATGAAGGAAGAGTTGGTTAAGCAAATTGACCATGTAAACAAGATTAGAGGTGACACACTTAGACTGCTCAAGTATTTTAAAGGCCTATTTCCCTCCAACTACCACTCAGTTAATTATACATCATTCTTTTTTTTTAAGCCTACTCCTTGAAGACCTCTTTACCAGCAGCCTTTTAGTAGACTCCTCCCATCACATAGCGCTGCAGTAACACGTGGCAGCAATGAGCATGGTGTCTGGGCTCCTGGTGATCACGGGTGTCCCTCCCAACCCTTTGATGTGGGCTGCTTATCATCCCCACTTTCTGGATGTAGAAACTGAGATGTAGAGATGGCTGGTCCGGAGTTACTCTGTTACCGAGAGGGAAGTCTGGCACGCAAACCCTCTGCCTCACTGCCATGATGTGCGTCGTACTGTGTTCAGGACCACGGGGACCACGCGGTCCCAACTTTGAAATCTTTTCCCATATGATGGAAGACAGGACACCAAATTCAACAGGGCAGAGCCATCAGAAGGTTGGGCACCCAGCTCTGGGTACACTGAGGAGGGAGCTCTTTTCGGAAGCTGCCTTGAAACTGTATCTCAGATGAATGACAAGCAGAATTCCAGCACGAGAGTCAGGGTCATTTTAAGCAGAAGGGCCAAGGACAAGCTGAGCCAAGAAGCAGAGGCAGGCACATCCCAGATAATGTGCAGTAACCGGTATGTGGCTCAGCAAACCATCGTGCAGGCTCCCAGAAGCAAGGATAAGGCTGGAAAATGAAGACCTTACTGAGATGTCATAAATTCTGTTCCTCCTTCTGTATTTTGTAACTTATAGTTCTACTGTGATTGCATCTGGCTCTGTCTCCCAGGAAGATAAAACCTTTGAAAATTTACCTTATGCCCAAGACATTATTTTAGGACACAGTAACACTTGGCTCAGTACGTCCAGAGCCTCACAGGATGTTCTGTTTGAAAAGTAAAACTGGGGGCCAGGGATTTAGCTCAGTGGTTCCACCACCTGCCTTGTAAGCACAAGGTCCTGTGTTCAATTCCCGGTACCAAAAAAAAAAAAGTAAAACTGTTGTGGTCCAGCAAATTTAGAAGATGGTGCTTCCTGAACCACTGTGTTGAAGAGACACTCTGTATACAAGCCTATGTACATAGTGCCGAGAAATCTTGCAGTTAAATAAAAATGACCAAAGTCATTGCTCAGAATCCACAGAGAATTAGCTCAAGGACTCTCATGGATACCAAAATCCACTGATGTTCCAGTCCCTTATACAAATGGATTTTCTGTATCTCCCGGTACCCTCTGAGTCATCTCTACAGTACCTATAATACCCAAAACAACAATGCAAGATGCAATGTAAATGCTGAATAAATGCTTGTTATACTGAATTGTTTAGGGGATGATGACAAGAAAAATCTTCACATGTTCAATACATAAGCAGTTTACTTTGAATTTAAAAATTTTTAAAAGATTTTTAATTTTAATTATTTACCTTATTAATAGTAATTGCATATGTAAGTTACAATATGACATTTCACTATACAAACATAATGTTTAATGATCTGAACAGAATAAGTGGCATAACTTTTACCCCTGATATTTATCACTGCTTCATTAGGAATGCTTAAAACTGTTTTTTTTTTCTATTTACTTTGAAATATTCAATTTATTGTTGTCAGCTGCAGTTACCCTGCTTGATCTTATCCAGCATTAGAAGTTATTTTTTCTTTCTACCCCATCTTCTCTCCATCTTCCCTCCTGACCCATACCTTTCCTAGGCTCTGCTAAGCTACCATTCTATTCTCTACTTCTATAAAAACAACCTTTTAACTTCATTTTACAAGCTTTTCGTTTGATGTTAATTGGTCTTAACATGTGAAAAAAGGGCTACTATGCAGGCAAATAAATTTAACAAACTAAATGGAATATAATTGGCCCTCCACATCCGTGAGTTCAGTATCTGGAGATTTAACCAACCACAGATATGAAATATCTGGAAGATATTATATTAAGCAAAATGTTTTACTTTTTTTTTTTTTTCTGGTACTGGGGATTGAACTCAGGACCTTGCACTTGCAAGACAGGCATGGCGCTGCTGAGCTAAATCCCCAGTTCCATATTAAGCAAGATAAACCAGGCACAGAAAGACAAATGCCTGCAAGCTTTGGGAAATGTACCTGTACTTAGGACTGAAAAGTGAAAATGGAGAGAACCTTCCTCCCCTTCTTATACAGATGAAGTCATTAATAAATGCTGACCCCAGACCAAGTGTATTGGTTTTTATAGGACAAAGACTCGAGTCACCAATTATGCTCAGCCTTTGTCCATACAAACATCCTTCCTCTTCTCCTACAGCTTATGTCTCTCAGAGCATGGTTTCTACACAAAAGGCTTCATTCCTGGTGAGAGGCATCACCAAGAAAGCTGCCACATGCACTGTAACCCAACTAATATAATTCTAAATCCTCACCATATCCTGGGCAATCTGTGTAATGGAAATATTCAAAACAAAAGGCCAGAGTACTATTCATGGAAATACAGTAGTACCTCAGTTTAGGAACTTTATTTGCTCCATAAGTTTGGAAAAGATGGCTACGTTTGTGTTTGTGCAGGAAAGATGTGTAGTCATGTTTGTCACCTGGTGTAGAATTTGCAAACAAAAACAAATTGTTTCCAAACACTTTTGTTTGTTTTGTTTTTGAGACAGGGCCTCACTATGTAGTTGAGACTGACCTGGAACTCATTATGTAGCCCAGGCTGGTCTCGAACTCACAGTGATCCTCCTGCCTCAATCTTCTCAGTGCTGGGATTGCAGGTGTGTGCCACCAGGACCGGCTTAAACATTTGTGTTTGCACACGGAAGCATTTGTGAATTGAGGTACCACTACAGTACCCACAGACCGATTCTTTTTCTCTCCATCTTGTTGAAGCTCAGACTGGCTACCTCTTCTTGAGCCTAGATATCATGCATTCTAATACCAAATCTTGTGAAATTGTTTTCTACCATGTACATACTCCGTTTGTGTAAGATCTCACCCTGGGTCTTACCCTATACCTGACTAACTCATAATTCTTACCCATGTGGTGGTTTAGAGAAGAACATGTTCCACCCTCTCATCCCAAGTTCTCACAGTTCTGCTAAACTTTCCATTTTTGCCTTTGTTCTCATAGAAACGTGGACACCATATTGGAAATTCATTTCCTTTTCAACCCACAGTTTTCTGAGTTTCACCAGAGAATGTGGTCACCAAGCTGCTGGGGGAAATGGCAGAGCCACTGTTTTCTGGGGTGTTTTGGCACAGTGTGCAGTGTGGTTTCTCGCGGGAATCTTCTTGGGCTCTGCTTGGGCAGCTCAGCATACCAGTGGCATTTCTAGAACATTGCAAGGCTTAGGCACCCGTCCTTCTCCTCTTCCACATAATTAATTTTCAGATTGCAGCGCAGATTTAAGAAGAACAGCTCTTAAACCTGGGAACATCGTGAAGTAGGTTTAAGTAGAGAGACCTTATGAAAGGTCTCTCTGAGGCCCATAGGCTGAGAGGCCACCTTCAGCAATCTTTTCCTAAACTTTACTTATTTCCTGCCTTCTGAATTGAGGAAGTTATAGATGAGATTGGTTGGAATGTCTTGACACAGAGAAATCCAGAAAAATCCCTTCTGCAGGCGTTCCACAGCTTCCACTGGACCCCCAGAAAACACTGGTGGCAACAAAGAAGAGGTGGGAAGGCAGGACAGCCCAAACCCACCCCAAGGGTACCTCTGATATGCTGTATTTGTTTGCTTTTAATATCAGTTATTTTCTCACATGGAAAAACTGGGCTGATTACATTTTATCTTTATTTCTCTTAAAATAATCCAGAAGCTCTGGTGGCTTTGAGCACACATTCTTGTACAGCAACACTGGAGAAGCCGAGACATCTCCCACTCTGCAGCACTAGGCAGCATCCCCTTCACTCTGTCCTGGGCTCTTGGCTGGCTTAGGTGCCCCGCTGGGCTCTGCAGTCCCTGGAGCTTGCAGCCCTGTTTTCCATGTTAAGCAGTGCCATCTGCTGCAGACTAGCTATCTGTTTTCTTTGCTTTAGAACTTTTTATGTGACCCTAAGTGAATGTGTAACCAAATCTAACATATTATTCAGGTACCAACATACTCTTAAAACCTTAAAAAAAATTCTGGCCATCCAAAGGGAATGTTTTCATGGCCCACATGATAAATTCTGCCTAGACCTATGTACCAAATTAGCAGAAAGCTTGTCAGCCTTCTGCTTTGCTGTGAATCATATGGGTACTGCCTGGGTTACCCAACTGTCTGACAGGGGACTGCCTTTCTTGCAGGGCTCATAGAGTAGGTTTTAGGAGAAGACGAAGAACACTAGCTTCTCTGGCCACAGGTTTCCATCTTCCACTGTGGCTAGTTAGGCTGCCCAGACACTTCTGGAGCCCGGATGAAAAGGTCCTTTGGGAGGCAAAGCCACATTGGGATGCCACGCTGCAGGAACTGCACCCCTCCTTGCATTGGAGCTGCAGTGTCTTGAGTTCTCAAGTTAAGGCAGGGATTGAAAAACTGAGATCCCCATTTCTGGCAAATCTAGGGCTCACTTGGATCTTAGGAGAACTGCATTTTCAACTGGTCCCAAATCTTTGGGAGCTTAAATTGGTCAACATTTGGCCAAAGACAACTTCCTGTTTCTAAGAACAAAAAGGGCTTATGAAAAAGGACTCCAGGAGCTTTTGGACTGCAAAATGGCTCTTGCAAAACAGTATTTGGATGATTTACGTGTAAATGAATCAGAAACATGTGGATTGAATTTCCTTGTGAATACAGATGGGTTTAAAAATTAACGGAAAAAGTGTTTGGCAAAATAGTTTTTTTGGTTTTTCTTTTAATTGGATCTAAAATGTCAGGTGGAGGTAGGGAAGCAGGAAGAATGTGGGGCCTCGGGGATTTGAGTCCAACCAGGCCTCCCTGAGTCCACAGCAGGATTTGTGGTAGTGGGGTTCACTCCCCAAAAGGCACATTCTCCCAGACATAATGGCTGACACAGGAAGAAGGTCACTTCCTAGACAAGGTCACCACTGACAAGGGCACTAATTGAAGTTTAGACTTGCCATTTAAAAGAAAGCAATGACTTTTTTTTTTTTTCTGTCTGTGGCTGAGAGGACACTAAGCCACCACTGGGAGCCAAGGATGGCTGCCTCTCCCTCCCAATGTAGGTGTCTCTCTTACTCTGACATGTTTAAAGTTGCCACAGTGCTTTAATTCTCTTACAACTGTCCCCTTATCCCTCACATCTGTCAGGTGAGGTGTGCACATGGGATGGCCTAGCTGATAAAAGAGGAAATACAGCCCTGAGAAGTTACACAGTGAGCACAGGTCCCCTGCTAGCTGAGCAGTGTAAGTTTAAAAATCCTAGTTGCTATCCTATCTCAGCCCCCATCTAGGAGCCGGACCCAGACTAAGCACGTGACACCTGTTAACATTATTTAAATCTGCAGTCACCCCGAGTGCTGTGACCAGCTGCATGTTCTTGCTGGGAAGGCTGAGGTTCAAGGAGCTACCTCAGGGCAATGTACTCAGAAGCAGAGGAGCCAGTGGTGGAGACCTGGCCTGGCCCACTCCAGGCCTTCTGAAAGAATTCTGGTTCCCTCAAGCCCCCTTCGCTCATCCCAGGACCTCAGGCCACGTTTCCTAGGCTACAGTTTTCTAGCGAACTTGGTCCGATCATCCTCGCAATCCTGAGTGAAGCAGTGCTAGGGAAGACACTCTACGATTTCATGCAAATTTGTCTTCTGCTCCTACTCCAAGCTGTCTCCCAACTTTGTATTCCCAGGGAACAATGCCTGTTGTTTCTGGCATTTCCTTTTCTAGTTTGGGACGGAAGCAGAGGCCCTCGATGGCTTCTTGGTTGCTCACTTTTCCTGCTAAAATCGAGAGCACAGAGAGGGCCATGTTTTTTTTTGCAGGAACTGCTAGCAGTTACGATGAGCCAGTTCTTTACTTTTTCGGGTGTGAAAGGGAGGGAAAGCAGAGTGACAAAATGAAAATCTCACTATTTTGCAAGGTTTGAGGCTGCAATATTCCCAGCAGCATTCAAACTGTGCAGCTTTTGAATTATGTTTTAAAATTGAAATCAGGTTGGGAGGGATATTTAGGATATTCTGCTCTGTTAGAGTCATATACGTGTCGATACAATTTTTAGTGAAGTACACATATTCTGTAACAAAAATTCATTCCCAAGGAGATGAGAACACATCTGCGGTTAATATTTAATCAACATAGTCATGCATGGGTCTTTTAATTTTTTTTTCAGTGAGATGTTTGTATGTGAAAATATTGATTTCTGTCTTCTCTCTCCATAGCAATATCTGGCATGATTGTTCCTCCCATGTGAAAGAATTGCCTTGAAGAATTTTATTAATGAAGAAGTTGGATTCTGCTACAAGAGTAATCTGATACAAGTCCCAGAGTGGAACTTTTAACTCAGGCCTTTTTAAGAGGAATCACAATAACTGCAGATTTTTAAACAAGCAAAAATCACCGACTTTACAAATACTGAAATTGAAAGGGATCTGCAAGTGCAGGGTGTTGTTTAAAGCTGTCCCTCCCCAGTGTCGGGGGTATATTTATTCTGTATCAACAAAAACAAATCCACTTTTTCTTTCTCTCTCTCTTTTTTTTAAAAGCTTAACTCTGCAATCATTTGTCTTTTATAAACCGTAAAGCTCTACCCAAGGGACACTATAAATAAGACTCCATGTTTTAATTTATGATGTTTTTAAAGCTGTGTAAAGGGAGAATGAAGTGGTGATATTTACAAAAAAGTTAAAAAAGAAAAAAAAAAGAAAAAAAAAAAAGCTTGTATGGGACAGAATAGGAATGCCAGTTAGATTTTTTAGAAAACTAAGGGTCGGCTTTTGCGCCTTAAAGCATATCAAATGGTAGTTAGCTCAGACAGTGCATTTCAATATCTAACTTAACATGCCATCCCTTAGCAGTGCAAGCTTATTTATCTCTTTTGTATTGTTGTCTTAAGTAACTGTGTAAATAAATGCAGCCTGGAACGTTAAAAAGTGATGTAAGTCATTACATTTTTCCCTTCTACTAAAAAAATCCAGTGCCTCTAGACAGATCGTTAAAATTGCATATTTAAATCTGATGTCATTCTCTCTTTACTTGTGTCAACTTCTTCTGAAGCCAATGGCCTCTCAAGAGCTCGGTGGCACACACGCTGTGTGAGAATCTCTTTGAGACTTCATGGAACAGGGTCCAGGCACCGAATCCCATACCGCCCTGCAGTTAGGAAGCCAAAATTTCACTTCTGCTCTACCATTCACATGTTCAAAGTTCACTCATCCTAAAATTTGAAAGGCTGACTTTATACCAATACTGCAAAAACCCCACAAAAGCAACCTGGCAAGATAGGGCCTCGATCCATCCACCGACCTTTACGTTATTTGTAATCTTATAGATTAAAACAACAGGTTAAGTGCTTTGCAGTGAAGAGTAAAAAGGAAACTGAGGGTAAGGAGGAGAAGGCTGAAACCTCGGGTTTTCTGTTCTATGGGAATTTTTGCTCTCATTAACTGAGAAGTGTTCTTAAAAATAAGAATTAATAGCAAAGATGCAGCAAAGCTCTTAGGATGCATTTGCCTGATTTTTTTCTTTGCTGTTGTGTTTTTGTATGTAGTTATAAATACTGTAGATTTTTTTGTGATTTTTTTTTTGCCAAAGTTGTTGTTCTATTTATACATTTTAATGTCTTAGGACAGTTTTCCAATCTCACGAAAAGATTTTACTGCATATTTTGCAAATAAAAAAAAAAGCTCACTACCTTTAGCTTGCACATATTTGCATTCATTAAAAGGCTTTTTGTTTTAATGGGGATTTTGTAAAATATCCATATAAATAATGTATTTATCTTTGGAATTTGTACATTGCTTTCCCTCCTTCTTCTTCCTACCCCTAGTTTATTTTATTGTGTATGTTTGCTATGTGAAAAGTGCGTATTTGTTTGGTCACCTACAGTTGTATTAGCTGTTTCAATGTGATTTTTAAACATTTCATTTATAGTTACTGTATTTTTAGTATTGTTTTAAACCATGCTTCAATTTTTTTTATTTCCACCCAAAAGCCATTGTCTATTTTTGTATTATTTGTAAGTTAAGAAGTTTTTTCCAATATATGGCAAAAATAGTAGCATATTATTCTTGTAGTATTTAGTTCTGTAGATTAAAAAGAAATGTATCCTTTGCTTTGGAAGCTTACAAAAAACCTAATGCTGTTTTACTCTATTAATATGCATGGAATCTCTCCCTTTGGAGTGACGCATTTTGTGCATTAAATTCGGGGGAGAAACTTCATAGAAATCAGTGAACATACTTTCTTTCTTAAGTCTGCTTGTATATTTCCTCTGTCTTTCACATAAATATAAACCAGCAGATTGGATGCCTTAACAATGCAAATCATATTCATTTCACTTGTACATTGTAACTGTGCACCAGAACTGTCAGTCATCACTAACATTCTAAGAAAAAAGAAAAAGAAAAAAGAAAAAAAAAAAAAAAGAAATTGAAAAGCACAAAAGAACTGTTTTGTTACCTTAAGACAATGTAACTTTTCTAGTAGAGCAAGAAATCATTTACAACAATGCTGCAACTGTGCATGCCCCCGTATGGATTTTGCAATGGTGTTCACTAGACTGTCAGAGTGCGATTTTTCTGGTA